CGAGTCCGGCGTTCTGCTACCACTCTCAGCAATATTACTCTATCTGGGCACCCTTAAATGGTCTCAGGCACTTAAATGGGGCTCACTCTGCGACTTATCGTGATTCGATTATTATGCTGTTAGACATGTCTATGCATTGTATGGTTAGAGCCTATAGTCTCGAATACAAAAAGTGTTCCAAATCTTTTACCCTGGAGATGTAAACGACAAGATAAATATTAGATTATGTAAATTATTTGCGCACACTTTTCAACAAGTTCAACATCTTATCTTGCCATCAAGCTTAGGCCGTAAGATTATATTCTTTTAAACCAAAACATCCATCCTATATTGTCTTTTTGGATTCTACAAATTTTAAGGTATTATAATGCAGTTTAACGTAACATGAGAGCTCGTAAATAAATAGGTAATTCAGCAATTATAATAAAATAAAAGCATCTGCCTAAATAGAGACACCATAGGCCTTTTGCTAATAAAAATACAAGCACCCATTCCGAGGTAAGCTATCAAGAAAGAAATCTGATCTGTGCGTGTTATAAAATGACCCTTTACCCTTTTTCCAAGTTTCTAAAGCGTTCAGCATATACTTACATCAACTGATATTTTGTATAAATAAGTGCATTTATAAATGCAGTTTTTTTGATTTGGTTATTTGCATTTAAAATGCGATTGGGTTAATTAAGAAGAGTGATTTACGCAAAGGAACGGTACGCTACGCTTTATTCGTATCCAAACTTAGACTAATGACATAATTTTGGTTACAATGGGCAAAGCTAGCCTGAGTCGCCGTCGCTGCCACGGAGGCTCCGTCGCTGCCGCGGAGTCGCCGTCGTTGTCGCTGAGCCGCCGTCGCTGTCCCCAAAGATACAGCGTTAGCGCCTCGTGTGCGATGTCGGATGACCGTCGCGGCTGGCAACATAGTTGCGACATATCCGCCTCGATCATGACTCAGTGATCAGTGATTAACTACTCCCTCTCTCGAAACTGAGCGTCCTCGGTCGCGTTTTAGTCTTCCAGTATCTGCGGAATTTTTCGGGAATTTCCACCAGCTGATGGAGCTAGTGGACTCCAGCTCCCACAGAACAAGCCAACAATCCAAGGGAAATTGCCGATTTGTTTCCGACTGCGACACTGTCTCTTACCTCTTTGATGTAGTTAAGGTTCTCCTCACTCAGACGATGAATGTGGGGAAGGCTGAGCACCGTGTCGTGCCCGCTGATGTTTAGTAACGGGGAAGCTGCTACTGCCGGGAACCGATATTGCAAGCTCATGCGGTTGAAGTATCGCGTACCATTTACTGCGGGATGGGACGTGAAGCTGACAAGATTTGTCCCATCTACTTTCATTGTGACGCAGTCGTCATACCTAAGTATTGCGCTGCGATCGTTTATGATGATGATGCCGTCGTCCACTACTGTGACAGGGTCGAGGTGATTGCCAATGATTGCGCGCAGCTGCTGCTCTCGAAGAGCTTACAGATTGTGGCAGTTTTTGTTTTTTTGGCCATCGCAATCAGCCACCAAATTGCCGTGGAGTTGAAGTACGGAACCATTGTGGGCGACTGGCAACAAGTTATCTTCTTGCATTGCTTATTTTAGGAAACTGAATTATTGTGCATTGTTCTCATCAAAATATCTGTTATGGGGGTCCCTGTGACTTGGTCGGTGCGAAAATGCATTAAATCAGAGTGATCAATTATTGTTGGGCTTATTACATTTATTTGTTCTAATGTTAAAGTAGGCATAAGGTTCCCTATTTCTGTTATAATCATTCTTTTGCGTGTGCTTGGGGTTGGTGGCCTGTGACAGCCTGCTTATGTTTTGCGGTTTTGAGAATTTTGTTTACGGTGTCTTTTCTTGTTGTCTTTTCTTGTACTTTGGAATTTACGACAATTTGTCTATTGCTTTCAATGACCAGTTACTTCTGCGTTGGTTCTACTTTCCTAAGGTCGTTTGCGTCCCAAGAAGTCAAGGCTTCTTACCTTACGATGGTGCACATCGAGTGCGGACAACATATCTAGTACATGTCCAGTGTAAACTTCCAGCAATTTCCTCATATAGGAATGTGGAAATAGTTCCGTTAGTTTCATAGTCTCTTCAGTCATCGTCTCGTAACCCGTGAAATTGGTAGTGTGACGTAAGTACTCGTAGCTGTCCCATAGTAAGATATCCCCGTCCGTGATCGGTATGTAGTCCACCTGCGTATAGTCAGTCACCTGTGCCGTCGTTATGATCATGATCGAAAGTATGCTAAACGTTAACCTAAAATGTTGAAACCAAAATTAATAAGAAGGTTATGAAAATTGTTTTCTCAATTTTTTAAAAACATTAACGAGGGTTGTCGTTGTGGACCACCCTCCCTTCAATGAGGACCGTTGTCCCCAAGTCCGCTTCAACCTTTTTTTCGACACACAAAGGCGATAGCCTGTTGCCTAATCTGCGGTTTGCCTTTACCTGGACCTTTTCACCTACTTCAAAGACTCTGTTCTCACGCCTTTGGTTAACACTGGCATTCTGCCGAACTTGGGCCTCTTCTATCTTACCCCTAACCTCGCGGGTACCTCGCGGTGAAGAGTTAAGCAAGATATCCTTAGTCCTCTTCTCAATTACTGAGTGGATTGAACTGTTATGCTAAATAGTATGCAGGATGAGGTCGACTGTGTCAACTCCCTTTCGGAGCTTTAAACACCTGGCTATTTCCAGCAGGGTGCTATGAAAGCGTTTTACCTGCCCATTAGATGTGCTATGAAGGGGAGGCGCGTTTACCACGCACACACCGTAATTATTCAGTAGCAGAGACTCATTGGTATCTGACTTGAATGCGAGCACATTGTCGCACCAGCACCAGCGAGGCGGTCGCGTGTCTTCTATCTTTCGAGATGCGACTGGCTGGACCACCGCAAACTTTGAGAAATTGTCTACGCAAGTCAAGAAGAATCTTTGTCTGTGGAGAAAATGTCGATATGTAAAATTTTTTCGGTTTGTGAGGGAACTGGCGGTCTGGCCGAGTTCCTGTTTCTTCGGGTGTCTGTCGTATTTTGCTTTTGTGCAAATTTTACAATTCAAGACAACCTCGTTAGCCAATTTATCGAACATGTCGGCTACGTGTACTTCGTAGTTGGGAAGGCCCTTACCAACTCGTGTTGGATACTGGCCAAAGCTGGAAGAGTAGAGTGAAATGCATTAACCACGTTTGGGTTAATGATGGTCTCTATTGTTTCAATAAGGGCGTCCCAATTGGTGACATTTTTTATATGGCGAGTTCTTTCGCTGAAAAGTATGAAATTCCTCTTTAGAGGAAAGCGTGCTTCCTTAAATACAATCTGGTTGCGGAAGCAGTTTAAAGGCTTCTCCGTCGAATCGATTGTATAAGACAATGACAATTCACCGTGAATCGTAGCCACGTCAGATTCTGGATCATCGCGATCTCGTCTTCGACGTAAACAATCTGCTCGCGAAGAACGTCATCTATGGTTATTTAAAAAATGCTCGCTGCATTCTTCAAACCAAAGCTAGTTGTTCTTGTAGATATATTTCTTGAGTTCTTTTATATTTCACTTGTGGGCTATAAATGCAGTTTTATTGTTTTGGTCATATTCATTTAAAAATGCGGTTGAGTTAAGTGAGAAGAGTTATTTATGCAAAGGAGCGGTACGCGACGCTATATTCGAATCCAAACTTAGACTAATGACATCATTTTGGTTACAATGAGCAAAGCTAGCCTGAGTCTCCGTCGCTGCCGCGGAGTCGCCGTCGTTATCGCAGAGTCGCCGTCGTCCCTAAAGATACAGCGTTAGCGCCTCGTGTGTGATATCGAATGACCGTCGTGGCTGGCAACATAGTTGCGACATATCCGCCGCGATCATGACTCTGGTCATTGGCTTTCCCAGAGCGCTGGGTCAGCAAATACCAATAGCCAGTGGTTAACCAAGTACTTAACAACAGTGGTTGATATACTTGGAATATATATGCACACATACATTAACACGTAAAAGGAACCTTTCGGTCGTTTTAGCTAAAAATATAATCTCATGTCTTTTTATTTAATTAAATAGATTAGGGATATAACTAGCCCCTATCAACTGAATAAACCAATTGCTATCAGGTAATACCTTATCACCACTAAAAATTGAATTTTTATCAAAAAAAAAAATGTATTTTATTAATAAAAGAATACCCGCATATTAATATATGTACGCACAAGTATGCGGTAAATATGGTCGGTTCTTTTTAATATCTGCTGTGTTTCTGTACCACTGTTGAAGAAGTATGGAAGGGATTTTACCATAGAATAATCGTATCTTCGAAAAAAGCGCGAGTCTTAATATTGTTGCTGTTGTAATTTATATTTGTTTGATTTTTATTTCGTGGATGGTAAGGTTTGTCGGGCGATCCTACCTTTATCTGTGGATGGCAGGATGTGTAATTTGGGGCATACTGACTTGGTATGCTTATGTTCTCCGTATCGCTGAGAAGGTTGTTCCCAGTCTTGCCCGCTTCCCATAGGAGATAAACTGCTTACGCATCTTCTGAAGGGATTTCAGGCAATTGTTACCAGATAGTGAGTTAGATGATTTCATTTAAAGAGATTCGATAACTTCTCGGCTGCCTGAGAAAATGCGGTTTCTCTGAGTTAAGTAAACACGTTGAATGATTCTTGTATTGCAGTCATCACCGCTATAAAGAAACTACAGTGGCCAGGGAGTAGGACTTTTTTGAGTATTAAAGAGTTTTAAATTAACAAATTTTGTTATGACTATTTGTATACTCTATTCAAGAACTTTAAATTAAACACGATCAGCACAGGCAATAGGCGAACTTACGTTCAAAATTTTAAGTTTTTAGCTCTTATATCTCGGACATACAGACAGACTGGAATGGTTAGAATCTCGGTATTGACCAAGAATAAATGTATATGGGATTCCTGTTTCTACACATTATCTTTTCCAAAGCTATACAAATACGCCATCCAATCTAACCAATTCCTTGTACAATTCACAGAATATAAATTTTCCAAGTATACTGCAAGTACTATAGCGGCATCAAGTATTGCCGCAGCAATGAATCGACTTAAATGCCATCTTTGTACGGGTGATAACATACAAATATTCTTCAGCTTTTTCACGGATTTAACAAGTGTGGGACAGGTTTGTTCAACAATACAAAGTAGCAACAAATTCTTTTAATGACTTTACTTTTCTTTCATTTATAGGAACAACTGCATCAGTGCACGATACAAATGGAAGTCCTATATAATGACCAAAGCCATACAATACAACCATTTTTTCTCGGCATTGACCAGCAGCAACCATTTAATGCATATTATAAAAGCCCATACCTTCAATGTGATCATCAGAAGCGCTTAATGTCCGTTTTGCCCAAGCTCGCTCAAACTTGTAAACTGCAGGCACATGCGCAAAAGGATTTACATGAAATAAAACTTTGAAGATTATTTATTAGCTTTTGCTATTGTATTTTAATATATGCCTCCCATGATTCGATTTTTTTTTATATCATAGATGGAAGGCTGTCACCTGGAATTATCTGACTAAAAATATATATGACTAACGTCTATATATGTAAAGCCTTATAAAGACAACTGTATATAAGTATGTTTGTAGGCTAACCTACAACGCAATATATAATTTATAACTAGTATGGAAACAAATATAATATTCAGTAATGGATTTTAGTACACGTACATTGGACGTAAGACTATTTTTTTTTTTTTGTTATTAATAAACTTTGTTTTTATGCGGCATATTATTCATATACATATTTCATATAATAACATTTTTTAATGTGTATATGCGTATATATGAGTACTTGCTAAGAAACCGGAAATTTTAAGCCAGATAAGCGCCAAGCTGCCGGTACTAATTCGAACTACCTTCTATATAACTATAAAAATAATACTTTTTTTTTTAAACTTTGAAAGTTGTAGTTGTTGCTCTCGACATATTTCTGTTACATACATTTGCACAAAATCATTATACTTTTCTTTCCCAATTTCACAAAGTTCAGGGTACTAAGACAGAGACTGAAATATAAACCTAAATTTTATTTGAAAGCAGTCAAATATTGTTAGAATTAAAATATTTTAATATATACTTTAATAAAAAATTAAAACTCGAAACAAGCCAACGCATTTAAAAATCTAATAATCAGGTAATAATATTTGAATACATTTTTGTTATTAGTACCAACTATTAACTGATAATACATTGATATACTTATGGATAACTCATTGATATACTTATATCACTGTCGCCATTCGCTTTTTCCTATTATTTTCCAAGGCGACCTGTCACATATGAGATATTTATCGGTGCGCCATTTCTTAAATTTATCTTGCGGATGTCAAGGCTTTAAATAGAAGAATAAAATTAAAGTTTTAGGGTTTTTGGGGCAGCATATATAACGGGTTATACGCGTAAGAGGGGACAATATAGGAATTTAAGACAATATATGCCCCGCACGAAGCTAAAACTATTCTATTATAGCTTTATTGAGTAAGCAAAGTACTAATATTATTAATATTAATTTTTTATATGCCTACTCCTAAAACACAAGCATAAAGCGGGTGTGGCAAAAAGGCTGTGAACCCAGTTGGGTCAACTTCGCACGTGAATAACTTTTTAATAAATATCACACAAAGCATATTTATTTTTAAAAAGGGATGATTGATCATAGGGTTTAATTTAGAATACTATGCGCGAAGATTACCGAATATCGTCCTTAAGTTAAACTCACAAAGGGCAAAAAAAAAAAGGAATTCTGTTGACAAGACACGTGAGCGTAGCTGAAGAATAGGACAGACAAGAGATATAAAGATTGTTAAGTAAGTAAGAAACCATTTGGAGAGAGAAAGTCGCTAGCTATCAAAAAGGTTACCTTCAAACCAGGACTGAAAGGCATCAATGCCAGGTTACTACAGATTTCAGGGGCCCATCTTTAAAAAAATTATATGTGTTTATATAAATTTAAACTAAAATATTTGGTGGCATTTTAAGTTTTATATAGTTTCGGCAACTAAGTGACAATGCATTCTTAAGGCTAGATTAAGCAACGGTGGCGAAGCGAGGAGCTTCGCCCAAACCTAAGCTACATTACACTGCAAATTTATTCAAATTATGCTGTTGAAAGCGCAGATCTGCGTCATCTTCGGCCACCGTGAAGGGTTTGTGGGCTTCATTAAAATGGAAAACGCAGCATGGCTAAATTGTGAATAGGGCTATGATTTCGCGTACCAATGGCCGTTCTAATTTCTGCGACTCGAAGGACGCCGTCCTCTCTTGCGTGCACTGCCGTCACCCTGCCGATCAGCCACTGCTGGGGCAGCAGCTTGTCCTTGGCGACGACCACCAGCTCTTCCACAATGGCGTTTGGCAGGCGATGGTTCTATTTGGTCCGAGCTTGGAGTCCCAGCACTATCGGTCGAGCGACATGACAGCGTGCCATCGATTTAGGCAGGTTAGACCCTGATGTTTCGGAGTCTCTTCTGCCGGCAGAGCCCTCAATGGGCATCCCAGGTGATCTGGCGTTTGAGTCTCGCCGTCGCTGGGTTCATCGCCGAGAGCTCATATGGCCTGGAATTCAGCTCGGCTGTCACCGCGACTAGAGTCGTCTGGAACCCTTCTGCCGTTAGTAGCAGGTTGCCTATAATTCGTAGGAATAGGCGTCTTGCAGACCTGCCTCCCAAAGGCCTCCGAAATGCGAAGCTCTTGCCTGTATGAACTTAAAGCCGCATACGCTTTTTACTGCGGCTTCGCGAATAATGTCCGCGTCTTCCGCGATTGAAGCTCGCAGCTCCTGAAACTTTCGACGAAAATCATCGAGCTATCGCAATGGACGATCTGCGGGACTCCTCGACGGTCGACGATTATAAAAGTATTTGTTGATGAGTCAGTGTGAAACGAAGTTTAGCAATCGAATAATGCGATGCACGACTTATATGTAGGCTTTCGACGCATTCAAAAGGTCATTTTAATTGGGCCACATAAATCGACGCCACGGATAGCAAATGGGCGGAGCGCTCGGAGTCGATCTGCTGGTAAATTTTCAATAATTTGTGTTAGCAGACGCGGCTTGCATTTAAAGCAACGGATGCATGAACTCACTGTCTAACGACAAACCTCTTGAGCGTCACAGTCGCTCACGAAGAAGACTCACGAGTGTTCCTGGGCCAGGATGAAAATTCTAGCAAATTGCGAGCTTTTATTTAGAAGAAGCGTGGCATCATACGAAAGGGAAGCATTTACATGTCCCCTTACTTGCAAAACCGAAAAAGAGCACCAAGAACCATTACACTCACGGTTGGGGCCAAAACTTTTAAATTTTTTCGAAAAAGAACGTCGCGTTCAAGCATGCGAATCAATAATTTCTGACAATCGGGACGTCTACAAACAAATTATTACGGGTGATGAGACTTGGATTTATGGCTATGATGAACCAAGACCGAATAGTCCACACGAAAGTCGCTCAAAAAACAAGTTCATGTTGACAGTTTTCTTATTGATTATCGAGGTGTAGTGCATTACGAATTCCTTCTCACTGGCCACACTATCAGCAAGGAATATAATTTATCTGTTTACGTCGTTTGCGTTAAGCTATTCGCAAGCAAAGGCCAGGATTATGAAAAGAAAACACTTGGATATTGTACCACGATATTGCACCGTCCCATACAGCACTCTTTCCTAAAATTTCGCCAAAAACTCCACTCATGACGCTCCACAACCACCGTATTCGTCTGATTTAGCACCCAAAGAAGAGACCACTCCGGGGAAATCTATTTTAGTCGATTGAAGAGATCAAATGTGAATAGCTGCGCGCATTGAAGACTATACCTGAGGATAACTTTTTAGCATGCTTCAAAGATTCCCAACAACGTTGGCATAAGTGTATTGCGGTTGGGGAATTCTTTTAAGGAAGACGATAAAAATGTATAATTTTAAAACAAAATTCACCTTACTTTTGAACACAGTAGTATGTTATCTTCAAATTCCGCTCGTCGGATTACTTAATCTATTTTGTCCAACTTTTTTTCTTTCGAGTGCCGATGGAATACTTTTAAATATCACTGCTTGATGTTTAAATTTTTACTGCGTATATATAAGTTAACATACTATTACCTACTATTGGTATTTGCTGACCCAGCTCTCTAGGGAATCTAATGACCAGAGTCATGATTGCGGCGGCTATGTTGCCAGCCGCGATAGTCATCCGACATCACACACGAGGTTCTAACGCTGCACTTATGGGGACAGCGACGACGGCTTTGCGACAACGACGGCGACTCCGCGACAGCGACGGCGACTCAGGCTAGCTTACCTGATTGTAACCAAAATTATGTCATTAGTCTATGTTTGGATACGAATAAAGCGTATAAATAATAAATCACTCTTCTTAGTTAACTCAACTGCATTTTAAAATGCATATAAGCAAAACAATTAAACTGCATTTATAAATGCACTAATTGACGCCCAACGTATAAAACCCACAAGTGAACTCGAGAAATAAATCTACAAGAAAGAGTGCGCGCAAAAATAAAGCCACATGACAACCTTCAGCCAAGAATACTTTTGTGACGGCAGCGAGGAAGTTCATCGTAACTTAGATAAGCCATAGTCTCAATACAATAATGTAAGTGACTCGCGACGTGAGAAAATACATATTGGATATAATTTCAAGCCGATGCGCTAGTTAGCTGCAAAATAACATTTTTAAATATCAAGAATTTGTTAAACCTCAGGGAAGCTGAATAGGGAAGCTAGGCTAAGACAGGAGCTTGAACTCCAAATTTCGCAGGTGTGAAGTAGGTTGAGAAACACACCACCTTCGGTACCAAAAGTGAAACGAGCCCCTTAACGCAACGAGCCCCTCAGCAGTGCTTTGCTGAGTTCTTGGAGGCAGGCCGCGCATGGCGCCTACAGACTCTGCAGAGGTTCGGCGGACGCGGTTCTCATGTCTATACTAGAATATTACGATGAGGTTGAAAAGAAACTCACGTTACTCACAAACGAGGCCCATTTGACTTATGATATGACTCGGGCAACGCGCTCCGCGTACTCATATCTGTACTTAAACGCAGTTTAACCGACGTGTGGTTTGCGGTTCACCCTTCGGGTTTGCCGACAGCGCTGGCACTAGTCCAGGTGGTTGAAGCTAATCATATGAGAAATACTTTCTGCGCCAGCAACAGCAACAGCAGGAAAAAAAACAATTTCCTCAAGGTGCCCAGGGCAAGAACCCTCATTTCAAGAGGCAGAACGGCCAGTACATAGATAAAGCCCAGAATAGGGCTGGGGGCGATAATGCCCCGGTCCCCATGGAAGTCGACCCTTCGTCTTCAAAGTATAGGCAGCCAACAAACTGTCAGAAATCTCAGGGCTCAGCTAAGTTAAACGCAAGTCAGGGTCAGGAAAATAAGCGTCCCAAAGGAGATAAAGGGTGGATCACATTCAAGCTAGCGATCCAGAGGGCGCGGAATAAAACGACTCAGCACAAGAGGTTTCGGGCGAGCAGGAGGATGAACATGGCGTAGATTATGAAAGCGATAGCTCTACATTTTTAGGGGAAGGCCCCTGCTGCCGTTCATCCGGCGGAGAATGACTGGGACAGATAAATGCAGCGAGAATTTTTCAAAAAACCATAGGTGACACTCGTTAGGCGAGCAGATTGGAAAATCGTGCTATGTTTATGTC